TTCAGTCCCTAGGGACTCCGATCGCCGAAATCCAGCTGATCTGCCGATCTGCAGCCCCACTATTACGCTGCTTGAGAGCTGAGTCCTCAGCCAGAAAGAAACTGTTGCAGCCCTCTGCAGAGGAGCCTGTGGCTCGAAGCCAGAAGGCCCTATTGTGAATTTCAGCGTTCAATTAGCGCCAAATTTAGTTCCAATTTTGAATAAAATACGAATTGAATAAGCTAATTACAATTTAAAATAGATTAAATTCCAATAAGAGAATATTAAAGTCAATTAACCTAGCCTGACTAAGGGAACCGAAAAATCTGCGCCCAACTGAGCCCGAGACTAAGTCAAAACTGGGAGGACACACCCAGAGGGAGGCATGGCCAAAGTTCTGACCTAGTCTCTTCTGAGCAGGAAGGCTGAAATTACCCATCCAGTGGATTCTACACTCATCATGCTGGAGAAAGAAGTTAATGTTTTAGTCTCCTTTCACAAGCTGTTGGGTTTCAACATGAAAGTGGAGCTAGGAGAGTTTTCTGCAGAATAAATGAAAATTGGCTAAAACAGATATTTCATGAAACTTTAATTTGGAATGTCCCTTTGTTAGATCAAAACTAAAACAGAACTGATAAAAGTAGAAAGAACAAAAGATATTGGCCAGAATATGTGACCAATAAACTTATAGATTCTGTTGTCTTTGGACTGTAATTGTTTTGGATGCTATGGACATAGAATTCCTTGTTGTCCCAATGAGAAACATGGGAACGTCAGAATAATGAAATGGAAGACCTAATAAACAAAAAAAAATCTTGTTATGGTTCACAATAGATATCTTAAAGGGGGAAATATATATTATAGATCTGACAGAAATCATACATCATGAAAAATGTGCTGTACTGGAGAGATAGGGTATACACAAATTATTCAAAGAACACGACTTTCAAACTATGTTAGTGACCATTGCATGGGAAAAAATAGAGATCACAGCTTGATGTCTCTTATAAACCTTAAAGAAAAAGGATCAGAAATTTCTTAGTGTGTTAGATCTAGTTGAAAACCACGGTAAAAAAAAAACAACTTAACCGAATAATGAAAAATTGTTAGAAAAAATAGGTGCAGGTGAGAAAACATGTTCCTTTATGCTTGATTGTCATATCGAGAATATGCAGACCATCTCTTTCAAAACTCCTGTAGCACCAGGGAACTGCCAGAAGATTAGAAAAGAGCTGATGTGGTTCCAATCTTCAAAAATGGATCCAGAAAATTACGGACCAATCAGCCCAAAATCAATACCTGGCAAAATCCTATAAAAGATAATCAAGCAGCTAATTTGCAAGCACTAGAAACAAGTAAAGTGATTACTAAAAGCCAACATGGGTTTGTTAAAAACAGATCCTGCTGGATAAACCTTATTGTTTTCTTTGACTAAATTAGTGGACTGGGGAAATGCTGTGGACATAGTTTACTTAGATTTCAGTAAGGTATTTGACAAAGTAGACCATAGCCTACTTCTTAATAAGATAGAAAAATATGGGATAGACACCATCATCACCAGATTGATTCCCAATTGGCTGACCAACTGTACTCAGTGGGTAGTTCTCAATGGAGCTGCATCTATATGAAGGGAAGCATGCAGTGGGGTAGCTCAAGGCTCTGTCTTAGGCCCAGTACTCTTCAACATCTTCATAAATGATTTAGATCAGAGGATAAAAGGGAAATTTTCAGATGAAACTAAGCTGGGGGGAATTGCCTACATATTCAAAAAGATCTTGACGGACTTGAGTACTGGGGCCTATACAACAAGATGCAGTTCAGTGGTGAAAAAGTAAGATCCTGCACCTAAGCCGGAAAAATGAAATGCACAGGTATAGGATAGGTGGTATCTAGTTCAACAGTAGTAACTGTGAAAGGGATCTAAGTGTTCTAGTGGACCACCACTTAAATATGAGCCAGCACTGTGCAGCAGCTGCCAAAAAAGCTAATGCAGTCCTAGGTTGCATCAACAGAGAGTTAGTGAAATGATAGTACCTCTTTATATTGCACTAGTGAGACCATACTTGGGATACTGCATCCAGTTCTGGTCACCATGATAAAAAAAAAGATGCCAAGGCCCTAGAAAGAGTGCAGAAAAGAGCAACAAAAATGGTAAGAGGCCTAGAGCTAAACCAGCTCATGAATGGTTCAGAGAATTAAGTATGTATAGCCGATCGAAGAGAAGAGTGATCATATGATAGCTTTCTTCCAATACTTAACGGGCTGCCACAGAGAAGAGGGGGTCAACCTATTCTCTGAAGCATCGGCGGGCAGGACAAGAAGTAATGGGTGGAAGATCATCAAAGAGAGATCCAACCTAGAACTAGGAAGAAATTTCTTGACAGCGAGAACAATTATTCAGTGGAATGGCTTGCCTTCAGAAGTTCTGGGTGTTCCATCACTGGACGGTTTCAAGAGGAGATTGGACAGCCATTTGTTTGGAATGGTATAGCAGGAGGTTGAACTAGAAGACCTCCAAGGTCCCTGTTATTCTATGTTCTATCTGCTTTCCCCTTGTGCACTATGTAAACAAGAATTACCATCACTCTTACATTTTTAGGACTGATGGTATTGTTTAGAAATATTTTTGAGGCACTCAAATTAATTTTAAAAAGAGATGCCCAAAGGTCTAACTGACTCATGTTATTTGACAAGATCAAGGAGAGAGGTTGGAAAAGGGTTGAGCTCATGTGCTCTCGGGATTCTGGGATCATGCTATCTCAAGGATCAGAGAGTACTTAAGGATGGTAATATACAATGTATCCGCCCAACCTTCTGGAATTCATTAAGCAAATTGACTGGGGCAGGTAGATTGAGCATATCCTGCTTAATCTGATCTATCAGTTTATTTTTCAGTTGTATCTTTCAAACTGGTCCACTTCCCCCCTGGAGGCAACTTTGGATTAAAAATTCCTATTACTGACGTTGTCTACCTCTGTTTTTTTAAAAGAAATACCACTATGTGGGAAACTATTTAGTTGATATATTCAGAACCATTTGCACTGCTGGCAAAAAGGTGCCATGAAGTGCTGAAGTGATCCAGGAAATGTGTAAAAGAAGATTTACCACAAAAGTTTTTGTCACAAAGAAAACAGAAAACAATGTCACAAAAACAGTTTGAAGTTGATAATTTAAAATCCAACCTAGAAGATAACTGGCATTTGATCGATTCAGTGAATGCAGAGCAGTTGGCAGCAGAAAAATAATCACAGGGAAAGAAAACAGAATAAGATCTGGTAGGCAAAGAATCACATTTAGGCAAGACAACAACACAGAAGTATATGCACATCTTGGGTGAATAAACCAGAGAGGAAAAATATTTCAAAGGATGCTGTAGAAAAGTGATTTTCCCCACACTCAAATATCAGTGTTACCACCAATACACATCCAATTGTATTAGTAGCTTTTTTGAACAAGTAACAGCTGGGAGTGGTAGAGAGTCCAAATGAAGACAAAATAGGGACAGAAAAAGGAGATGGGACATGAAATCCTCTCTCAGATGGATTAATTTTCAACAACTCAAAAGAAATCCCAGTTACACTTGATGTGTTTGAACAACATGTTTTCACTGACGTTAAAAATATCCCTATCCATTTATCAGGCTGATTATGTACATGTTACAGCAGTATTTAATCATCAGATCGCATTCATCTTCTAAATCAGCATTTCTCATAAGTTCTATAATCAATGTTTATGAATTTAAAGGAGAGGAACATGAGTTTTTATATACAGAGCAAAAAGCATTAACCTTGCTATTATAATTTTATATTTCAGTAAATGAAGGTTGTAAACAAGTCATTTTTTTTAAAAAAAATCACTGAATAAATAGAAAATCTTAGGAAAACAGTAGTAAAGAATAAGTTTTATTGCGAGTTTTTAGACTAGTATCTACCAGAAAAGATGATCTTGTGCATATAGTTTATATTTCTAGTATACCTGAATAAGATTATTCCTTTTCATATTAAATCAATTAGAAGAAAAGGGACTTTGGGTAGATAATGACTGAAAATAAAAAATGCATACATTAGTAGGCAAGTGCTGCTTTTTCATCTCATCATTATATTGGATTTAACATACTTGACACAATGCCTTGAATCTTTACACAGTGTAAATTAATAACAGCATCTGCCTAGAATTTTAGTTAACTTCAATAATTGACAGGCTTCCTGTGTATAGTCAGCTTTTTAAGATTGTGGTAACATTAGCCTGGAGGTGTATTAGCTTTACAGATACATGTGGTATGAAACAAATTTCCTTCCACCATGGATTACTTAAGTTTCCATTATGAGGCCTGCATTTGTTTTGATGTATGTGATATTAGTGAATCTCTCCCTTACAACACATCATCATCTGCAAAAGCAATCTCTATTATTATAGTCTTCTAGTATTTATTATGGCTTGGATTTTGCCACAGCAGTATAGTTCACAAAATCCCAACTATATCTTTCAATCCCTTTTTTTATGTACCAGTTAACACAAAGTATTATGCACTTAAAAAAACAAACAATCTGGGGGAAAAAACAGGTGGAGCATCAGTAACCAGATAGTATTCTCAAATTTCAGTGATCTAGTCAGCGGAGCCTTCCCCCTATGTACTGTGCTCTGTTTCATGTGGTACACGGCTTTAGCTGGCCAAATCAT